AGTACAAATGTGAATAGGGGCAGAAACTGTACGCATTGTATATTTAGTGTAAACACCTTTGATTGTTATGAATACAGTAGAGAGATTGTGAAAGGATTTATCACATTGTGTGTTTACAAAGCATTACTATATCCATTTTATGAGTTAATCATAACGCGGTGTCTCAGCCTGTGCGTGCATGAGGTCATGCCTGTGCATGTTGCTCTCCGGGTTGTTTTTGTTTCCTGCCAATGCCAGTCCATTGTTTACTGTATATATTCTTTACTGCAAATACTGTAAATAGAGAGGTCATGAGTGGAACTATTGAATTAATACCCCTCAATTCTTAAATGTACGTTGTAAAGCATTCCTTATTTTTCCCAACCAAAGGAATGTGGAATGACCATCACTGGCTGGTGGGGGTCATCACCTGATTGGAGCACTTGCTCCAAGCTCCAAGTTCATTAGAGCAGAGACATTTCTATTCTGCTTTATTGAGTCATGAGACTTTTCAGAAGGGCCGCGTGTATGTGGATGTTTGAGTTCTATCTGGGTCCTCTGGTTTCTCACCAGAAGTGCCCAGCTAAGAGCCACTCGTGCTCAAGGGTACCACTCAAAAGTGCACACAAACACGCCAGGACCCAACTTGCTGTACTGTCATCTTCTGTAGCACAGGACGATCCGTGCGTGACCCACCAGCCACTGCCTCGATATGAACATACAAACGCTTACGTTACTTACTCCGACAGCGGGCGCTGCATGTGCTCTTAGCCAATCACCAACCCTAAACCCCGTCCTTTCTCCCCTCTTCCTAGCTCATTGTTCGTCATTGCAAGGCCCGCGGGCCACTGGCAGCCCCTGGTGGCCTTTAGTGTGGCCCCTGACAATGCACAACAAGGAAAAACACCCCTTGCAGGCGGTGTGGTGGGCCTCACACTGATATCTTATCGGCGAAAGTTGCCCCCTCAGAAAATTAGTGAAGAACACTGAACCTAGCTCGTTGTATGGGCCCTTCTAGCCCATGGCACTGCGGTGCATTTGCACCGCCTGCGCACTCGATAGCGACACCACTGGGGCAGGCACCACCATTCCCCAGCACAGTGCACGTGGAGGGTCAGTGGTTGAGGAAGTATAATGGGTCTGTTCTGGCTGAGAATCCAAATACTGTACCTTGATAGTGCTCACGTCAGATTGCTTGCACCTGCTGCGGATATTTGAAAGTCAAGGTGGCAAGGCGGTGGGTGGTGTTTGTGCAGTGCCAAAGGGCATAGTCGCGGCAAGTATTGCCACTGGGTGCTGGTTTCTTGCTGTGGTCTCCAAGCTGCCCGCACATTTATGCCCCAGGTGCATACAAACGTGCCACTGTCTATCCACTGCTGGATGAAGGCCTCCCGATGCCGTCCCGCTAGGTCCAGTGTTGCTGCCGTTCGTTCGTCTTCTGCACGTGAACTGATCGCATCTCTGTTGTGTGATTACTCGACAGTTCATAGTTGTTTCAAACATTGCGTGGATGGGCAAATGAATAACAATGAAATATACACGGGAACAATTCACACAATGTAACTCTTGGAATGGCTCGACAATCGACGCGTTTGACATTCTTCCAGCAGTTTAACAAACGAGCTCCCAGCTGACCGGCCGAATTAATTCCGATAATGTATCTTTGTTGAAAACACTGACCGGCGGACAAAGGCGATGAGAAGAAAATAGAATATTAACTTTTTTATTGTGCAAAAAAAAAAGAGTCTTTTGTCGGGGCGGGACTGAAAAGAGGTTTTTTTTTAATCCCGTGGTGGTGGGGGTGGAAACGGGACGGTGCATGGGGGCTGTTGATGGTCGGTGGTGGGGGGCGGTTATAAGGAGATAAAAAAAACCCAACACAAAACATTCTTGCGGTGGCAACCCCCAAACGGGCACAGCTGTGAAGTGTCTGCCACGAGGATTGTTTGTGTCGGTCTGGCGGGCGGTTCGCTGGCCGGGCCACAGCTGGGCGTGGGCAGTGGCCAGACCCTGGAAAGATGCTCACAAACGAGCCAGCCCCCACGCCGCTGCCTTCTCCCCTCCTCGGCAGGTCGGGCGACGCGCGAAGGAGCGGGAGGAGGGGAAGGGGTGGTGGGTGGCTGCCCGTAGAGAGAGACGGCGGGCGGGGGCTGGGCTGCCCATTCACAGATAGAGAGGCTCGACGCGACGCGTGATGAGGCACAGTCGCAAAGGGCTGCGTGATCGCTCATGCCGGGAGAGAGGCGGGGGGGGGGGGTTTGGAAATGGAAACCTTCGAAGAGCTGTGAGGCTTCGGTTGAGAGGGCCCGCGAGGAGTTCGCTTTTGCTGCGTGTGAATTATGTAGCCCAAGTTGAGAATGCTGTGTATATACATAATCTAGAAATGACTGTTTTAGGTGAAGTTAAATACATTAATTTACCACTGATCCACGAAAGCCTCCCCACGCCGTGTCGGTCCAGGGGAGGTTTTATTGACCATACTCCACCACGCCAGTCAGTCCACGTTTGTGAAGTGGGTGGCCTAGGGCCAGTTCATGTATCGCTTGCCACTGGTATTAACCTTGGCCAGCAATTGAACTCCCAGAACGATGGGAATCGCTTCACCACTGCTCTACTGCCCCCGGGTATATGTATGTATATGTGTGGATCATATGTAGTTAACAATAACACGGTTTCCTGAAGTTACAACAGTGGATTCTTTAATCCATGTGTGGAGAGTTTTAATTGTGGGGCGGTTGCACGCTTTCCTCCCACACGGAGCCCATCACTCATGGATGGAATCGGCAAAACATCTGAAAATTTGTAAATAAATAAGCAGACAATTTCTCCTACACTTACCCGTCTCTCACATAAAAACGTATTTCTTATACAACCCATCAGCCACATGGTCTTCTGGGCATCCACAATTTCAGCAGCATTGATTCAAGACAAGCAAAACTCTGGAACCAGTTTTGACATACGGTGTCTTCCTGAGGGAGAAAAAAAGTTAAATCGACTCATCCAGACTTTCAGTTTTGAACGTTTTGAACTGTGACATTTAGTGACACACAAAGGTTGATGTCTTTGTTCTGTCAGTGTTACGTTTCAGGTACTCTATTGTGCTAAAATCGTATGGATTGAACTCTGAATTAACCTACACGTAAATCTTAATCCATTATTCACCGTGGGAGTTTATGAAATGAAGCAATTGGCGGGACCCCGGGGTCCCATCACTGCCCCGGGGTGGGAAAAACCGCGTAGCGACACGAGTCTTGCCTTACCGACAACAAAACTAGTGGTCAATTGATTGGCCTCGTCGAGAGCTACTCAGGGCACTAAGTTTCGTAAAAAGTTGAAAAATTACATAAACACGTTAAATTCACTGCGGGGGGCGGGCTCGCCTTGGCAAAGAAGCTGAGGATCGACGGCTGACCGGAGGGCGTCGTCGCCGCGCGTGACTGCAGCGGACGCCCCCCGGGGCTCGCGTTTGGCCGGTGGGGTGGCGCCCATCGTGTCGATCGCCGCCTGCTGCTGGCGCTTGTTGGCGCGAGTCTGGGCGGGCGGCGCGTTGCTGTCGGGATCACGAGTGGGCGGACTGAAAAATAATAATTATTGACCTGATTTTTGCGGGAGCCCGGGGTCCCGCCAAATTATTCAAATGTGGCACCACTTTGCGGAAGGCCAACGGTGGTTCTTCTACGTGTAGTACTGACGGGGGCCAGGACTATGTATTCCTATGTGATGGGGACACCCTAGCAATGTGTAATTTCCATCACCGTCTCAGGACCACCTACGAGGGTGAGTGCCACGCCGCACACTCAATTTGAGCAGGCGGACACATTCGGCGATTTCTGGGGTAATTATACTCTGGAAAAAAAGCTATCCATGAACAAAAGTGCGAGGTCGGAGGGGGGGGGGGGATATTTCTAATTGTGTTCTTTTACTTAACACCTTCGGGCTAAAATGCTCTTGCCAAAGAAAGGCACAGATCATGGGACGTTTTAGATGCCGCCGAAGTGTCCCATGTCTTTTCGTCACGACAATGAGTCCACAAGTGACGCATTTCTCAAAGGAATCTAATTAAACGCGGGTGGGGGAAATTTTGATGAATTGGATGTTAATGAGGCAGATTATGATTATGAGCCGAGCCTTTTGTGAGTAGAATGGCCAGCTGAGCCGCGGCTTAAACTGCTTTTGGTGCGCAGGATTCTTTGTGCCTCCAGGCCTCTTTGGCATCCATGTCCCGTTCAGCGGAAAATGAGCAGGAATCCGCGAGTGGAGATTTTGAGAGAATGGATGGCCTGTAATGCCCTGACAAATGTAAAAGCACGTTAAGAATAGTCATGCTGCGTATTCTTTTTTTCACTGTGAACATTGTTTTATACATAATACATTTTGTGGTCAGTTCGTGTAATAGCGGAGAGTGCGTCTGTGCCAAAAATCTGTGGAAGGGTGGCCAAATAAGTGGTAAATACCACGTCAATGTGTTTTTTTTATTGTTCTATGATTATTGTCGGTATGGTAAATGTCCGTGGTGAAAATGAAAATGTGGTAACCCATATTCTTAGCTCTTTCGGTAAAGTCACGTTGAAGGGAAACAATAAAGTAATAAAATACATATAAAACAAACGTCGTGAGAATGTTTATTGTTTTATATATATTTTATTACTTTATTGTTTCCCTTCAACGTGACTTTGCCGAAAGAGCTAAGAATATGAATTACTGCAGTCACGAAAGCTTTAAATCAAAATTTAATGTGGTAACCGTTTAGGCTCCCACCTATCATCACTCGAGTGACTAAAAACATTTAACCACTCGCTCGTGTCTTCCACACTGTCATAAAAAAGTACCCTTACTCATTGTTTTTCTCCTGCCTTATGAAAACCAGCCTGATTTGCTCTTTCAGTTACCTACGGGAAAGCGAGCCGGTGGTTAATTGTGGGCTTTGTTGAACGGTTTCGTTGTTGAGAAAACAGCAGTATTTGGTTTCAAGGTCTCTGTCAATCACGCTGGTAACGTCTCTCCCGTCTCCCTCTCCCCAGTGGCATGCAGACCTTGCAATGACACGGAGCTGCTGATGGCTGTCTGCACGAGCGACTTGGGTAAGAATCCTTCTCTTTTTGACTACTGCATAGGTTTTTCGCGGCTGTTGCCGGTGCATCTCCCCGGTGTGTTTTCCGGTTGTGCCGCGCATTGTTTGGCGTGATGTCGGGTGTTCGCTCCACGTGCTGGGAGCTGTTCCAAAATTAAGTTTTTGAAGAAGCTCTCGGCAACATGGAGCGAGCGTCGGACATCACGATGAATGAACGCCGTGGTACAACCCGAAAACGCATCTGAGAAGTCCCCTTTGTCCACCCGCACATGGCCATCTCCGCTGCACTGTGTTTTCTAAGCCATGTGTGAAGGCTCTTGGACAAGCCTCCTCCAGCCGTCGCCATCTATCACGGTCCATGCGATGCATCATCCATCTAGCACTGGCGCACGGGCTCACTTCGTCTCCCCACCTCCGTGGTAGACGTCCTGTCCGCGCATTCCTTCCCTTGGCGGCCACAGTTTCGCTGTAGGTGCAGTTCTTTATTTGTTTAGTCATCGCGGGTCACTTGGGGTGTGGAGACTCCACACAGTGCTGGCCCAGTGGACGGAGCTATTTACTGTTTTCTAAAGTAAATATTGGCCTCATGCTCTTGTTTGGCTAACCCTTGCGACATCCATCAATATCAAAGGTAGACTTTGTCAAGAGGCCACGATGTGTTCAGAGGCGTCCTGCATTTAATTGTGCTGAATATTTTGCCCTATTTGCATCACTCACAGCTTGGCCCTCCACCAGGAACATCATTTAATGTAATTACACGTCGTACTTTTAAAAGGTCAACGTGTCCCCCTGCTTTAACGAGCGATGGTTCGAGTGCACCTCCTTGGGCGACCCTGAGCCAGCGGTGGAATCTCCGCGTTTCTCACGGCAGGGGCCACTCTCTCCGTAGCAGTCGCCCCATTGAATTCCCCCATATCGGTACTATTTTATAGACGCCGTCTTCAAACTGGCAACCTTCCACCTGTGTGTTGGGCTGACTGCCACAGTGCTGCTTAACGGGATTCGTTATTCGTTGCTGGACATTACATAACGGCACAGCCGTGTAGGGTTCGGCCACATCTATGACCAACGACTGAGGCGCTAGAGTTCAGCGAGAAGCTGCAGTAATCTCTGACAGTGTTCAGCCCCTTTCTTTTGTTCTGGTAGGAGTCCACTGGAGCCTGTCTCCTCCCCCGTGCCTAGCTGATCGTAATCGCGCCGTTTGCTGAAAGCACTCGGCCAATCTCAGCAAACACTTTCCCGCGGAATTTAACAAAAGGCAGGTGCACCTTTACCTGGTCACCTTTATGCATAGCTCGTCAGGAGTGCCGAGAGAATAATGGAGTGGCTTTCTCCGAAGTTGACGGTGTGTTGTTACATGGGGCTGTCTTGTCTCACCTGAGTTCGATTCCCGGTCACAACTAACATCGGTGATGGCGAGTATTGTCTGAACTGGCCCTCCACCCTCACTCAAGAACCCGCACTGGCCAGGGTGGTGAAGTATGCTCAGACAACCCCCATGGCTGACACCAAATGGGGAGGCCTTCATCCATAACAGTGGATTGACAAACGGATGTCATTTTTATTTGTATTCTCTTGATTTATAAGTCTTGTGCTAGTGGCCATAGAGTGTTGAGGCTGAGCCTAATGTGAAGAACAAAATAGATAAGGGTATAAAAATGTCTCCATAAAAAAAATTAAAAGCATTTTTTCCCCCAGACCCCATCAGCCCCACGGCCTTTTGGGAGTGCATAATTTCAACAGCATTGAATTAACATGAGCAATGCTGCAGAAATGATGCGCTCCCAGAAGGCTCATGAGTTGTGGATAAAACATACTTTATTTTTGTGTGGATAGACGAAACAGTGTTTGAAGGAGACATTATCTGCTTATCTCTTTTGTTATTTATATTTTCCAAATGGATGTTAATGATCACGACCCGAATCAAGTTTGTTCCCGTGTATGGTATCGGCCCCTTTTGTTCTTGGAGATGTTATCAAACACTTTCGTTGTTTAAACACTTGGTGGATGCTTCCTCTGTCTTATTTGTTCAAGGTGAATTGCCCCAGTTAAAATTCCGCCATTGTGTGGTGTCTTATCGGAGCCATCTCGACCTCTTCTGGAGCTTTGTCCCCTGGCTGGTAAGCTGATATCAAGAGCTGATATCAGTAGTGGCGGTTTGGATGGGCCCTGGTGCAGGGAGTGAAATGGAACCCCCTTGCCCTGTCCAATTTCACCCACTCTACGTAGTCTGGCACTTGGGCTGTGGGTTCCAGTGTTTAGTTTGTTCTCCTTCCCCGAACTTCCGATTTAGCATGGTTGGTTACGTGCGGTGCGAAAGAAGTTCAACATACATACAGTCCACTTGTCCTACCTACACACTCGTTAGCTAGGCCACTGGTATCGGCAGCTAAGGCTCAACCAACTATCTTGTAATGTCCCACCATCACCTGCTAAAATTTGTATCATGCATGGACTGTACCCAGCACTGTGGCAAAGATAGTTTGGAGTTCAAATCCCTGTTGGGGGTCGAGCCCATAATTTCTCGTGGTTAGACTAAACGAGTACAACTTTGTGGATAGTCAGTGGTATTTGCTACTTGGATAGACTTTGTCTCGACCACAGGCAGTGTGCAATTTCCACACTTGTGCTGCCAATGGTGCTGAACACGACTCGGTGAATTATTGGACCTTAGAGACTTCACTCTTAACAATCATTACACATATATGCGCGCCAAAACGTTGTGTCAGCAATTTTAAGAAAAAAAGCTTTAAACGTGTTTTAAATTGGGAGTCAGGCTACCTTTCAAAGGACCCACACTGAATCGACTTGTTAACGACTTTGCACCTTTTTGGGTGAGTGACCCTGCGCATCACCGAGCACAATTGACCATCAACGACAAACAAAAAAATCTGCTCACCTGTGAGGTGCGACTAACTGGTGTACAAACTCTTTTCTTACGTCCTAGTTTTTAAACACCGGGGTGTAAGCGAGCTGTTGAAGATTTTCTCCAAGAAACCTGCCTCTCACCATCCCTTCACCGCTCTCTCCCGACTTTCCGTTCCCCGTCTTTCTCCCAATTCCAGCGCATGCCGACGGCCCCGTTGGCCAGCGAACACTCCCAACTGCATTGGGCTGCCGCCCGGTGCGTTTAAGCGCTTGTTCACAAACGCAGCTGCGCCGCCGATCCCTGCGCACACAAAGACCCGAGTAGCGAAAGGCTCTTTGTTGAGGCCTTGACTGGCTGAAAAGCCTGTTTGGGCTCATGGCTGACGGCACACAATGGGATGTGTCGCCTGTCAATGACTTCTTGGCTTTTTCATAGGCTAAGTTTTTATTCATTAACTAAATGTTTAGATGTTTAATGTTAATGCTTCAACTAAAAGGCGACTGAATAAGTGACTCGAGCCCCGGCCGCAAGTGACGACACAAAGTGATCATTATTTTATTTACTGATGAATGTTAAATGCACTTCATTTTCAAATAAAAGTTAATTGCTGTATAAGTGACTTGTTTCACACATAACTGTTACTATTGATTATGCAACGCTTTGCTCGCTTTGAAGATAATTAACTAACACAAGCGAAACTTTTTTGTATTAAATACCAAATTACTAAAAACAAAATAGTCAACGCTGTGTAATTTTCCTACGGTAAAAACAACAACATACTCTTTATATTTTGAGAACGCTTATAGAATTGGAGTAGGAACAGAGGTAAATGTTGTCTCAAATCCAGATCACATATTCCAATTCCATGAAACACCCTTCGCAATTTTTCTCTTCACATTTTTTTAGAAAACAAAATAAGAGAAAATCAACCCTCAAGGTGTGCACACAACCAGCCAAATGCACAAGTAAAAACTTTCGAATAATTGTAGGCACCATTATCGGTAGTTGTCATACATGAGCACTGGTTAGTTTTTTTTCTGCTTACCCAGCCTGCCAAAGTGGTATTTAATTGTTCAGAAGTTGGGTTAACACCTCTTATCCCAGTTCTAATTGTAGGCATGGAGAAGCATTGTAGCCTCAAATAAAGCAATTAGTTGAACCCGATGGTCATCTTTTATGCAGTTGTGGGAAAGATTAACATTTTTTTGTCCTTCGTCAAAAAAGAAGATGGTTTTGTATTTGTTTGGTGGGCAAAACACAGCCCCTCTTTCTTGGCCCATCTGGGTGTTAACCGCCGCTGTTTTGCTGCAAGAAAAGGGGGCCGAACGGGTCGTGATCAGGAGGAGTGGACGCTGATCTTTTTTTTTTCAAACTCCACGGATGAAACTGTCTTGTCTCTTTGTGGCTGGGTGTGGACGATTGGAGAGGATTTGGGGTTGGGCGGCCGATTTAGCCAGAGGAGTGTGAGCGGCCGAGCGGCGATGGATACAATGATCCACCCTGTGAGGGGATGGACCGGCGGGGGCTGAAGGCCATTGCCGGGCACAGACCCGTTCTTTTATACGCAGCCGTGCGTCCCGTCCCAGAATGAGCTTGCCGATGGCTGCTCATGAATAGATGGGGCTGGCAATGAAGATTCTCGCCAACAAAGGGAAACTTCATGGTTTTGCACGTGAAGAGAGGACACCAGGGCCCGCATTGGACACCATAAGCATCACAATCGCGCATTGTGGCATGCACAATGTAGGCGGGGATAAAGGACAGATTTTTAAACGTTAAAAGTTTTTCGATAGCCCCAGAAAATTCTGGAGCCCAAGCCTTTGTGTTGATGTTTTGGAGAAAGCTTGCGCTTCCCCGAGTGGCTCCTTTTGGTCACAAGTATCTTCGTAAAGGGCCATCACGAATACTCGGACTTTCAAGCGCAGTGATCTCAAGTACATAAATCCATCAACAGTAGCACCACACAACCAGCCGCAAAAGACCAACGTAAGGGCGTGATACACGACGCGTGGAATACACATATGGGTAATGCGTGACACAATATTTTGAATAAATATTTTATAAAATATTTAAACTAACCAGTGCTTCAAATTCCTGAAAGCATTTAACATTTTTTTTTCCATTTTATGCTGGTGTAGCAGACCGATATGCTTGGGCAATTTAATGCAACTACTCTATTAAACAAATCCCGTTTGGTAGGGCTCGGCAGCTTGTGTCGTTTGATTGATTCAAAGGCATTTTTAAAAATAAATGGGCAGTAATGAATGAGCTCTGTGTTAAGCAGGATGGGTAGATGGTGACAGATGAACCAATGGACAAAGGTGGGCGTGTGACGAGAGTAGCGCTGCGTTTGCGACTTTGGCCTGGTGCTTGTCCGCTGGGAATCGGTGGTTGTGGGATTTTGTGGGTGGGTTTGGGTTCAGTTGCATTAGCAGCAGACGAGGGGCGGGGGGCAGTACATCGGTGTATTGGTGTGATGGGATTGGTGGTGACTTGTGTGTAAGGTTGTGTGTTAGAGCCGGGTGGGGGTGGGGGGGGGGGGTGCACGTGAATGGTGGCGCTCCCTGAACGTTGCCGACACTGTTTCTGGTGGTGGGCTTGGGAAGGTGCTCGGAGCCTGGAGGCCATATGGCACCCCCACTTGAGATGCAGATTGGCGTGTATGTGGCCAGAGGGAGCCCATAATAAACTCAATGATGTGAAAAGCCCCAATGGGTGGCATTGAAAATTGAGAGAAGCTGCCAACAATTGGACCGCATGATTAATTACTTTTTGTTGCATTGAACTCTTATTCGAGGTTTGGCGTTTGGCTCCCAATGGTTGTGGAGGTCGGTTGTTAGGAATAAGACTTATTGTGTGCCTGACAGTTAGCGTTACAAAAGTCAGACTAAAAGTGAAGCGGATTTGCATTAATAAACCCACATGTGTACAGTATGGCTAATTACGCAGAGGCTTTAGATAATGGCAGAGCAGTGTCACAGTGGTAAGCACTACGCTATGAACCTGGTGACCCAGGTTCAATTCCTGGTGACGGTTTTAAGATACGTGGCGAGCAATATCTGAACCGGTGCTGGCCACCTCGACTGACGGAGCATTGAAAGACGATCCAGCAGTGGATATTTTTTATGCATAAGTCAAAAATCAAAGAGCCTCCCTGCTCAAACATACAATGGAGCAATGCTCATCTTTATGAGTGGTACCGAGGCAATGCCAGAAACTTCATATTCTCATGACGGGGACGACCAGTTTGACAAGAGGTGACTACCATCGGCTCTCAACAAAAGTGGTAATCGTTTTTAACAACTCCAGAGGGATTTTAGATTGTCGATGATGACTGGGATTTGAACCCACGACCTTCTGCTTGCGGTGCCGCATCCACAATGTGGTGGCACGGACGGTCCCGCTTCACGGCAACGTCCACCCGACGGCGGCGGAACAGCTGGGGCTGTAAATCCTGATGAGCCCAAACAAAGGCGTGTCCTTGTCTGGGCTCCGTGAAAGGCTCCTGTACCCATCGCCCGTTTCATTCACAGTAGCGCAAGTCCTTTATCACTGCCGACCTTTTCGGTTTTAAATTGGTCACGTTTTTAACCCTTTCCGAGGCGACTGCAAGTTGCAGGGTGGGTGTCCCATTCACCGCCAAATCTCAGAACGTGCAAGCGGTTCGGCGTTAAGTTTATTTTGAGAGGCGTAGCGCTGTTGTTTTTAAAAGGCGTTGTACTCACCGCAGAGAAATGTAGCGACACCGGCGCACTCTGCAATACCTTCTGGCAAACTTTCCCACACGCTCTGGCCTTGTGGGTGCCTCGGTACCGAGAAAGTTATTTTATCGTAGGTTTTCCTTCCAATTCCGGAACCGGAGGAAAAACTGATAACATGCACATACGTCATCGGAACGGAAAAGGGTTAACATAACGGAAACGTTGAAGTGAACGTGCAGTATATTTTATGCATTTAATACAAGCTGAGATTAAAAATGCTCCACAATGCAGTGTTGCTTTCACCTGGGTATCTTCATGTGCAGAATCCCAGGGCACTTTGCCATTAAAGTGCAAACATCCATTGGCCAATAAATCCAGTAAAAAATCGCCAATTCAAACAAATAAGTGTAACATTTGACTTAGAGGATTGATCCTGCCAGTACAGTTCCTGATGTGACCTGGAATAAAGTTCGAGAGGCAGTGGGGATAACGACTCGAGGCCCTCGCTCACCCCTCCTGATTTTAGACAGCTTCTAGGAACCACCACAAGTTTCGCATTTACCGAGCTGAGGGTGCGACTCGAAAGCTAAGGTGTCAAAAAGTTCCTATAATTATAACAATAAACTCAAGACCACGAAGATCTTGTAAGTAGTAATCACGATAAAAATGATAATATTGTGATGAAATAAACAAATTAACAAGACAGGACAATACAATTGAGATGGGCAGACATACCAGGCATTCCATAAGAGACACTTGAATTTGATCACAAGCTCAAATAATCACGATTAATTGATTGACTAGGGGGATGAATAATTAACTACACAATAATAACATATTCCTTTACTTCTCTGAACGAATAGATAACCCTTACACCTTGCCTTTTCTGTACGTCTTACAATCTCGTCACATTATGACTCTGTAAACTCAACTTGCATCGCAACGGAATTGCAACGCACACGCACACCGTCTCCGACCCTTGCGTTGCTGACTCGCATGTACGCTCTTTCCTTGTGCGCCGCGCCCGCTCCACAGTGGTGAAGGGCTTCATCAAGTCGGTGACTCACGACCGGGCGCACGGCGAGTCGCGGGTCGAGGTCAGCGCGCTGCACGTACTCCGCCAGAAGGACCAGGTGTTCTCGCCAGTGCGCGGCGGCGGCGGCGGTGGCGGCGGCGACGGTGGAACGGGGCGCACGGGCCGGGCCATGGGGACGCTGCGGACGCCGCTTCGGTGCGGAGTGCGGCCCGGCGACGGCGCCTTTCTCTTCACGGGCAGCCTGCACTTCGGCGAGGCGTGGCTGGGCTGCGCGCCGCGCTACCGGGACTTCCGGCGCGTTTACCGCGCGGCGCACGCGGCCCGCCGCCACATGTGCGAGGTGGACGTCGACTGAAGAGCAGGCGTGGGTGCACGGCACGACGCGGAAACATCGCGGCCGCCCACACCTCCCACTGTGCCGGTGGAGGTGGTGGCGGCGGCGGCGGCGGCGGCGGCTCGATGGCTCCTGATGCTGGCTGCAGGTGGAGAGAAACTCTGCACTGGGTTTTCCAGATGCAGGTGAAGTATACTGCTGCTGCTCTATGCGGGTGATGGATGTCATGGAATGCGGTGGCGGCATGCGATGATAATGGACTCTCAGCAGAGGAGGGTCTCTTGGAGAGACATTACGTGGCCTTGAGATTAGCCGTCCGGAAGAGGGGGCTTTGATGTACCAATACTCAGACAGTACGGTTGCTCAGTTTAAACTCCTGAGTGCGATGACTGAAACCTGATAAAAATAGCAGGGTTAAGGAATCATAGATCCACAGCAGTTAAAATGACACTGGGCCAGGTCTTGACCATAGCCAGTTGCCTTAACTGTTAATGAGTAAATCAATGTTGAAATATTGAAAGTGTATATTTCTTAACAGAGCTGCTTCCGAAGTCAGACATGATGATTCTTATTGGGTTGTCTTTGCCCACATGAGTGAAAAGTAAAATTCAGTTGATGCTTACCCATGGTTTCGTTGGTCGAGCTGAGAGTTGTTATTGGGAAATATTTTTTTTGTTTGTTCCAAACAAAAAGGACGTTGTTTTATTCGTGTAAATATATTTTCAACAAAGCAGAAGAAAACACAAAGAGGTCCTTGTCAGTGATTCGTTTCGATAATTGATCATTAATCATGAAGCTGTGAGATTGGTTTTCGCTCTGTTCAAAGGAGAAGCATTGGAACAGCTGGGCCATTAAAATCACTTGGAGGGCCTTATATAATTAATCACCATGATTTGGCGATTGATGCGATTTCTATTGCTAGACGTAAGGCAGTAACAAATTGTGCTGAATTGTAAACGATGCTTTTAACGTCCCAACCAAGGAGCTGCGTTCTGGGCGGTACATGCCCCTGCGTCGACTGACCGCGCTAATAGTTGTAATTATTCTTGTTTTTGGTCACTTTCTAAAGGTGTCACATGAAAACGTTTGCACTAGCCCTTGGGGAAAAATACGTTAAACTTTGAGCCACGGCAGCCTCACGCACATACTGATAGCTTTTTTTACAGACACGGTGTGCTTCATCGGTCAACCAAGCCCATCGTCACTTTCGGGCAAATAAAACGAGTACCACTTTGTTACAAAGCAATTGTGGTTGTCCTACGCATATTCCGGCCACTGCCATGTGCATATGGAATTGGCTTAGTGCTGCCATTGGACGTTGAGGAAGGCAGAGGCACTGGCTTTTGAATTCTGAAACCCATGGATGTGTGTACCTCCCTCCCCGCAGTGGCTTTGATTCCTGTAGATGCCCACTCCTGTCTCTAAGGCACACCAACACAAGCTGTTGCTGCAGAAACGATCTGGCCATGTCGATAATTCTGTTGGTTATAGGTCATGGGTTGGTGGGTCACATAGACTTTAACTTGCGCATGAGACTCCGAACTTCTTGCAGGTTTGCAAAGTGGTCTGGCGATAGCAGTACAGCAAAGAGGTTTGAAACCTATATTAATGGATTTTTAAACGTGCATTTCCCCTTCCACCTATAATACGCTCATTAAGGATTCGACGTTAAGTGAAACGGTGTCTGGATAGAATTCAACTCCCAACATAGAAATGCCACTCTCAGGCTCCTAGCCATTGTGGGGCATTATCGCAGGAGCGACTGGTCTCAGGCATGCCAGGTGTTGGGTTTTAAGCCCCAAGTGATTGTGCTCAATATATCTTGGATCAGGAGAGATATATGTACAAACCTCTCCTCCACTGTACAACCACTGTACAATGAAGCTTGTACCAAGGCCGTGCCTAGTCAACCCAACGCAGTCGAAGAGGCTCCAGGCTGTTTTTCCACTGCAAAAGACGAGCCGTGCTGCAGACGTCACATAGCAAGGAACGAGTCACGATGCATGCAGATGACGCGCGCAGTGGTCGTGTCCCCACAGTGTACTGACTGACAACATCCGCAATGAACTCTTTAACTTTCACTTTGGGACTTGAAAACTGAGCAAGCCTTGGTAATCAACAAAACATTTGGAGGTTTTTTTTCTTTCCCCACGCTTTATTTATACATTGACTCTGAAGTTTTGGTCGAATATTTTTTTGTTCTCATTCCAATGACAGTCACCACCTTATTGCATTGAGGTTTGCTGTGTACATGTGAATGAATGAATGCAAATGCGTGTGTGTGCTAAATCCAGCCGCAATCAGACAGACGTTTGACACACGCATAAGTTTTGTTGTTCTTAATTCATCAAACGAGTACGTAATGGTCTAATGGAATATTTTTGTAAGTTATTTCGTTTCCCCCCATCAATTAATGTGTCATTTAATCAGGGTTGACCGTGTGCAGGATTATATGGAGATCTAAATATGAATGAGAACCGTGAAATAATTTTAACTCTAATCAAAACACCCTGCATTGAGCTTGTCAGCATTTTTGTATTATTATGGAATGCACTAGAACAGTTCTAACACTGCCTTTGGTTAGATATGGATAGCCTGTAATTAATGCAACGTTTTAAATGCTTTTTTTGTTTCTTCTGATGCACACTATTGCTTGTCGAGTCACACAATAGAAGGCCACAGGTCTGCATGGTATACGGGGTTATTCAGTAAGGGTGCAAGAGTTGTTGTTTTTAGCATTTACTGTACGTTGTGGAATAACAAAAACAAAGTTTATTTCAAAAGAAAATATGGCAACGCTTTGGTGGCCTTATTTTGTTGGCGGACAAACATATACGCCTCTGTCAAGTTTGGTGGACAACCACCAAGTTGGCACATGCAGTTTCGGCAATTTATTCCCACCGCATATTGGCAAAAAACTACCTTTCCTCCAACAAATTGCAGTAATCAAGCCCTGGGTTCAACCCACGTGGTTCAGTTGTTGCATGAGATTCATGTTTTACAAAAAAAATACGTGATGGCAAGTAACGTGTTACAATTACCATGCTGTTGTAACTGGAAAAACCAAAGGGAAGGTACACGGAAATCTTGTATTATTACACCACTTTCAGTATGTACACAGATTACTATTACATAGCCTGTACTGGATGATTGCTTTTTGTAGTTATATAAAATCTATTTAAGTTCTGAAATTAATTTCAAAAACAATTACATGATGGTCGGAATGACCACGTGAGCAGCTGCCTAGGATCATGAGGCGAGTGCAGCAGGCAACGCAGAAAGTTCACAATTACAAAGGAGATAAATGTAAAAGTATCATTGTATCACGTAAAATTTCGTTTAAAAAAAAGTTAAATATAACATTTCGGTACATTAATTCTAAAACCTTGGGTAATGAGCAGTCAGTGGCTGAATAACTTCACTCACAACACTGATCTCATCTCGGTTCACCTATTCTCACTGCGTCTGTGCAGGGGAAAAAGAAAATAGTTTATCGTGACAAATGATGGGGTCCTTGCTTAAGCAGTTATTTATTTTCATTGGTGGCTGTGTTGGCGAAGGCGATGTGCGAAAAGTGTGAAAAATGCGGACGAGTGTATGTTGAACTTCTTTCGCACCGTACGTAGCCAACCGTGCTAATGGCAGGTGCGGGGAGGCACAACTTGGCTGCTTAGATGACTCTAAGACAATGATGGGAATCAGCTCTCGGGGTTGTTTTTTTTTTGCTGACTAAAGCTGTGTATCACATGTGCTGAATTTATTGTACATATGCTACTTTGTAAAAAAAAAAACACCCAAAGCAAACTTGTTAAAAGTGTCATATTGACACGTTAAAGAAAGTGTACATTTCTATAATTTGTATAGATAAATATACGTGTTGTCTTGTGAATTGTTGTAAATGTTGGAAACAAATCTGTATGTATTGTCCTTTTGATTTTTGTTGCTTTTTTCCCTTCAAAATTATGCTTTAAAAATAATAAAATATATGAATTCAATTTATTTCGTGTCTGGAACTCGTTCTCCCAAAAACACATTCCTGCGGAGGGAGCTGGTAGGAACGTTGGATTGCTCGGTCAATGGCCAGGGTCAATGGCGGCGTGGTGTATTCCGCAAATATTCCCGACTGTGAGGGTGGGCACAAGCTGGCGTGAGTAGGTTAAACGTTGAGTTTTATAAGGGCACCACGGGGTGACCAGCCCCTCCCCACCAAGCCCCACCCCTCCCACCCCCCACCCAGCCCTACCCTCCCCGCCCAGCCCCTCCCCACTCTCCCCAGCCCCTCCCCACCCTCCCCACCCAGCCCCTCCCCACCCTCCCCTCCCCACCCAGCCCCTCCCTCCCCACCATCCCCTCTCCACCCAGCCCCACCCCTCCCATTTTTGGATGCACGATGGACGGACACAATAATCCCCTGTGGGCTGGTGTAACCAGGAGGTTCCTACCAGTATTAAAGCTATCAAATGTCTGGGCGGCTCAACAGCGACACACCAACTCAACCACGAACTCCACAAACTCAAAGGGGGGAGTGCCCTCTCATGCTGGCCCCGCCTTCTGCTCATAGGCCTCGCCCACTTCTCTGTTTACCACGCCCACTCCGCTGCTGGCCCTGCCCACTCTTCGACTGGCACCATCCACTCCTCTGCCGGACCCGCCCACTCTTCGACCAGCAACCTACTGCTGACCCCGCCCACTGCCCAGGTAGTCCCGCCCTTTCTCCCCCCCCCCCGCCCCCCCGATCATGAGTCAACCATTCAACAATAACTTTTTAAACCTGGTTACCAAATCCCAGTAGGGAACAGATGATTAACAATATCCAACATTACCCTACGACAACGTTCGATTGTTGCGGTTGTCATGCGAATTTGTGTAAACTTTGGTTTAATAATACGGTATTGTCTTGTCCGACTTGATTGTGTTATTTACACACACACGGCTATTTGAATGATGCGTAAAGTGATCCATGATAGGAGTAAGGATGCGTAAAGCACAGGGGGACGCGTGAACCCACTGGGCGAGAACTCCAAGCCAACTCCGACATACGGATGTTGTTAAAGCCTAGCAATTGGCAAGAAGACCCCCTGACTCCGAGAGAGTTACTGGGATCATGGATGTAATTCTGCCTGTAACAGCACCGTTGCAGCTTCATGTGCAGACATAATAAATGGAACGGCTGCGTTGGCCAATTGTATTGATAAACGAAAGTGCGGGTGCTCTTTGGACGAGATTGATAACAAGGACCGTGATAGATTTTACGTGGCTTGAAGTAGCCTTCAGCAGTGGATAGATCATGGCTGCTGCTGCTGTGGATGATGATGATGATGGGCATTTCATGCAGCCTTCCTTGTCCGCCGCTTGAGGATGAGTGTTGGAGGTGAACAGGTGGTGGAGGGAGCTATCGAGTGTGCAGGCAGCGCAACTGCACCGGGACCCACGGGCCAGAGGGGCCCAAGTTCCGCTACTGGGTATTGGAGGATGCCGGAGGATGAGGATGGATGGGCTGGCGAGGAGGGACGTGGAGGGTTCAGCCTGAGGGAGCGGTAGGAGAGAAGAGCTGGGATGATGAATGGACACAAACGTTGTTGTCGACGACTTTTTTTGTTTGTTGTCGATTACTTGCCCCCCCCCCTAAAAAGAGCGACCGTTTCCATATTTTTGCGAACGCCAAACCGTGAAATGTCTGATGGCGTCATCAAGCCATCACCCATCACCTACCGTCCAGCAGCACATGCGGAAACAAGGTTAAGACTCTGTGGTCCGGTTAGTAATACAACCGCTAATCGGTAGAGTATATATTAACTGGACAGCCCAGCGCGACAGGAGAGTGAGTAATCTCGAGCCGACACAATTCCAGCCTCTGCCCTCCCTCCTTCAATTGTTACCGGGTCTCACTGCTCATGTGTTCCAGCTGAAAGATGTGGGTGGGATGGCTGAATTGCTTTGGGAGGGGGCTTTTTTTGGATCTTTTCATGCGTGGCACGCATAGTGCGGGCCCATTAAAGGCCAATCGTGGACTGGATGTCACACAGCAAAAGGCTGCGTCCCAGATGCTTCAGCAGCTCGCCAAAGAGAAGCCAGGCACAAGGAGGAAGCCGGCCACCCGAATGGCAGGGCCTGTGAGAAACCAGGACAAGGGCCTCTTCAGAGTGGCCAGGAATGCTGGGAACCTGACAAGTGCCCTACTTGTGTGTCTGTGTGTGTATGGGGCTATGGGCCGGTAGTCGGGAGCGTTCGTTTAGCGGTTAGTGCGCTGCACTACGAACCTGGCGACCCGCGTTCAAATGCCGCTCACGGTCAACACCATTGACGATTATCTGAACCGATCCTGGGCCTCCCCTAAGTCGTCTCAGCCTCAAATGAGTACCTGGTGTGGTGCGTGAAACATCGCCACTGCGAAGATAAAGGCGGCTGGGGGTGTGATGCTGGCCACTCACCCGGTAGTGTGCCGTGCCGGTCTTCATAGGTGCTCGCTAACAGCACTTTGCCCCAACAGTCTGGTAAGGTTATACGGGGAATTTTTGTCTTTCAGGCTATGGGCATTTTTTGTTTGTTTCTGGCTCTGTAGTTATGCACGGGGAGCAGCCGGTTGTGATGAACTCAATGAGTTGGAACAACAAGGGTAAACCATATTCTTATTTTTTCATTCAGTGAGTTGAGTTCGATTCCCAGCCAAGGCTGACATGAGTGTTGAGTGGTGATTGAACCGGTTCTGGGACTCTGGCTCTCCGCCTTCACCAACCCACAATGACCAGCGTGGTGACGTATGGGCAAATGACCCACACGATGTGGGGAGGCCTTCATTCAGTAGTGAATTTAAAGCTGTGAATTGAGTTTTTGAATTGTGTCACGTTGTAATTATCAGGTGTGTTAATGACACTAAATTAGGATACACAAATACTATATTGTGTTGTCCTTCCCCTGCACCTCCGATGAGCACGGTTGGCTACGTACGGTGCAAAATAACTTCAACGCACTTGCTGAAATTGTTCTTTTATAGGGCCACATGATGGCACAATGGTAGCATTTGTGCCTCACAGCAAGAGGGCACTGGGTTCGATTTATGACTCGGGCGCCTCTGTGTGGAGTTCGTATGTTCTCCTCCTGTTCATGGTTTTTCTCCCATAGCTAAGGGAAAAAAGCATGTAAATATACTTTTGTTGAAAAAACCCTACAAATTACTCAATTGGGATTACACGCAGCAACATCGCCCCTGCTCCAAAACGTTGGCAGGACTCTCATAAAAAAATACTCTTGAAACCCAATTAGGCTTTTTTCTGTGTAAACAAGCACAACAAAAAAACAGTACATCGTTTATGCAACGTTAATATTTGTTGTAAAAGTAAGCCATCCCGAGTCAGCGGTGGAAATTCCACATTTCCATGGGGACAGCCAGTTTCTCCAGAGGGCAATCACTTAACAGTTGTCGTCTCACAAAATGTGACTCATTGTATTACTTAAAAAAAAAACTTTTTTTTTTACCAGATAAGGCTCACTAAGCGATACAGCTTTTTTTCTAAAGTGACCTGGCTATCACAGATGATAGCTCAACGAAGTGGCTTATCATGTGGAAATGTATAGCAGACAAATACTCTTAATGCATTATGAGACCTCCTTTGCCAGAAACAAGATATAGGAATAGGTTTTACCCTTTTAACTGGCACAAAAACTGACACCTTTATTCAAGGCATCATGTTTGCAATAACCACAACACAAGCAGTCAAAATGCAAACAAAAAAGACAACTCTGATAATATGCACTGTCCTTTTTGAGTTGTACGCCTTTTGGCGTCTTCTGGTCCAACACCAATGGAGACTAGGCTCTAAGAAAAGCTGTCTCGGGTGTGGACCAATTAAATTCAAGGACAGTGCATATTATCAGAGTTGTCTTTTTTGTTTGCATTTTGACTGCTTGTGTTGTGGTTATTGCAAACATGATGCCTTGAATAAAGGTGTCAGTTTTTGTGCCAGTTAAAAGGGTAAAACCTATTCCTATAACTCTTAATGCATGTTTCTAAATGTGGAGGGAAAATTCGGAGGGCCCGGACAAAATCCACGTGACCACGGGGAGAACGTGCACACTCCAAATATACAGGCGTCAGGGTCGGGATCGAACCCACGACTTCTTGTATACCAGGCGAGGTAGTTAACATATTGCCCCTTATCAATAAGTATGATTATCATTTCGCAAGGATGATAAGCTGAATCTAACTTTGGCACAGATTTTATCTTGCAACTCCTCAATATAAAAAAATATAAATACTTTTGTACAATAGTCCAGCTAGCTGATGGGGGGTTGTTTGACTTCATGATCCTGATCAGTACGTGTTGGCAAAATATATACTTTAGTACAATATTCCAGCTAGTTGATGGGGGTTGTTTGACTTCATGATCCTGATCAGTACGTGTTGGCAAAATATATACTTTAGTACAATAGTCCAGCTAGCTGATGGGGGGTTATTTGACTTCATGATCCTGATCAGTACGTGTTGGCAAAGGAAGGGTGCCCATGGCCATATTGGATATCGCTCACTACTGATATTAACCGTGGCTGGGAATCCAACTCATGACGCCAGGTTTATAGCACAGCACAAATAGCACTGCACAACCACCCCCACAAACTATGAGCGATGCTGCATGTGATAAATGTGTTGAATTCGAGATGGCCGATGTCAGGATTTCGGGATGAGGAAATCTGACTAAAAGTAGGCGACAACAGCGTGATTGTTCCGTCGTTCGGTCTTTGTGTGCAGCTTGTAATGCAATTTGTTGTCTGCCTAGAGATCTCCCACCAATTGCATTGGGCCATCACTCACACGGGACGGTTGTGGTGAAAATGTGATTAGATGATTATGCCCGAGCCCTGTGTGACCCCTCCGTTTCATGGGTTGTCCACTTAAGGCTGATTAGTTGCAACAAATGGCGTTTGTGCGTAAACGTACTCTCTTAAGAACCAATCCGGGCCAAGCCGCATCCCATCAAAACACAGAGAGCTCACAGCATCGA